GACATCGAACGTCCATTTGATGAGGCAACGCACGTCGCCAGAACATGGTCAGAGTATCGAATAGGGGGAGGGGGCAGAGGGCGGTAACTTCCTGCCACTGGCAGAATTGCGAACGCCAAGAAGTAGCGCAACTGTATCATCTAAGGATCTTTCTTGGGGCCCTTTCCTTCAGGGAGTTTTTCAGATCTTTGAGGTATTTTTAAGATGTAACTGTGATGTACAAATCCCTGGTAGCCCTAGTACTCATAACTTCTATACGTTCCATCTTCGATACATGTCCATTAAACATACATATTTGCAGATGTGTCAGAGGCAAGTCGACGAACTTATTTATTATTTGCGTTTCGTTCCAATATTCGAAGATTTAACGGCTTAAACGAGTGGGGCAAGTATGTAGCTGGGGAGTACATTCTTTAGATACATTTTGGTTGGAATATCGCCGAGGATGGGAACTTGCGGGCTGTGCGGGCCCTCACCGTCGTGTGTCGGATTCTTTCGATCGCGGTAGACACACATGAGGTTGGTTATATTTTTGTTGAATTTTAATTTAAAATTCATTCATCATTCCATTCGAAAGCAGAAAGGGGTAGGGGAGAGGTATGAGGTAGGTTAAGGGGTACTCCTTCATTGGTATTTTCTCTGCATTTCTGTCCATATCTCTATCTCCAGCTTTCCTTCATTGTCTCTCTCTCTCTCTCTCTCTGTCCCATTGTTTTGTGCCTCCTCCGGGGCGTGAGGGATTATGCGGGCTTAACCCCTCACTGCCTGGCGGTTGCCAGTGCATTTCCCTGCCCCCCATCTCTCGGTCCACTCTTTCTTATTCCACTCTTTGCTTGATTTTTCACACAAAATTCAATTCAATTGTTTTTCTCATCTCTCACTTTTGCCCTTCCCTCATTTTCAATAATTATATTTTGTCTCTGACGCTCTTTCACTCTCTCTGGGCCTTTTTCTCCTCTATCATTGCCTGTCGCTCTCTCTCTCTCTCTCTCTCTTTTTTTCTCTGCACGGGTGGCACCGATCGCTTAAGCTCTGTCTTAAGCAAACTGCCTCACCTTTGATGGTAATGATTGCTTTTCAACCTTCAATCAATCAGGCTCAATATCTTATGATATTAATTCTTGTTTCATAGTTGCAATCACTGAATTCCGCCTGGAGCCGCCAGACATTCATTCATTGGTCTTATTCACCTTTATTCACCAATCAAAAAGTTATACAAGAAGGAGATCTATTGATGCCATTCAAAGAAAAATATTTATATGTACTTACATACATATGTACATACTTTCCCAGTTCATAGTTCACTTTTAGTTCACTTTCTTCTAATTTGAATTGCTTATTAGTTTCGAGACCTTTTGGCAGAACTCTGCCACTGTTAATCATATAAAGCTGAAATAGTACAACGAAAAGCTATCTCCCTCCGCCTGTCTTGTTTGGCCAATAGTTTTCCTTCAGGTGAAAATTTCCTATTGAAATTTTCCATTTAAGCCTCTCAGCTGTCTTTCGATGAGAAGGGGGAGTAAGTCTGGTAATTAGGCGAAATACTTATTGTGGATCAGGGTCTCCCTCTCTCTTTCTCTTGAAAAAGATGTGTCCATTGAGATACAGATACTAAAGACACAAAAGATACAAATGTTTCTTCTGGCTGCCCCGCCAGGCAGCGCACTTGAGTCCTGCTTTTGTTTTCCTACCGCGGCGCGGAGCGTAATCCAAAAATGTTTTGTTTTATTAATTAAAGAGAATGCAAAGCTCTTGTGAGGCAACGAATGGGCAGGGAAGGGAGTGATAAGAGGATGCGGGAAAGCTTCTACTTGGATTAAAATTAAAACCAGAAGAAAAAATTACAATTTTTGATGGACGACGATGAAGATACACTTGAAAATGCAGCCGACAGCTAAAGAGTGATATGAAAAATCCCATAAGTGAATGTTTCCAAGAAAGTTTCTTGAAAATCTAAGAAATAAATCATTTCCTTTTTAGAATTGCCTGAACATCTTTAGACCCGTTTTTTAATACAAATCACGTACCACTCTAATCATTTTCTGCATTGAAAATTATGATGCTCTTCCCGGGGGAAAGGGTATTTTATAACAAGAGAAAATCGCAGAACAGAAGCGGAAGAACATAACAGTACACAGTGAAAATAGTGGTTAAAAAAGGGAGGGGGGGGGGGGGGAAAGAAAAAGAACAGGAGAAAAAAAAGGGGGGGCAAAAGGAANAAGAGAGCAAGAGAGAGCGAAACAAGAAGCAACAATTTCTTTCCCTGTTTTCTACGCACAAAATCTGCAGACTTTTTTTTGTACTTTTAAAGATTTTTTTTTTGCAACATAATTGGAATTTCCTTTTTCCTGTTGCTTCATTTTGTTGCTCTCCCTCTCTCTTTCGGTCTTCTACTCTTTTATATTTTGTTGTTCTGCTTCTGCTTCTGTGTTTCTTCAACATCGTTCCTTGTGTCTTGTTGTCAAGTGGCACACAAATGCGAAAAGAAACTCAAGAGGTTGCTTGTCCCAGCCCCACCGCTTGACCACTCTCTCTCTCCCATGCACCTGAGAAATATTCCCCACTTAAGAGACAGAGGACAGAGTGAGAGAGAGAGGTACGCACTCTGTTTCTTCAGAACTGGAAACTGGAAATGAAAGATGGTCAGCAGAAGATTTCAGTGGGGGAACATAATCGTCATGTGGATTTTATTGTAAAGTACTCTACGCGTATGCATGTACGGTGCGGGCCAAAGATGTACAAGACTAGATCTTAAAAATAAAGATATCAGAAAATTATTAAACAAATTTAATTATTTTTTGTTGCCTCAATGTCGAAAAGCTGTCCCCATTTTGATAGCCACGAAACGCACTGTGGAGCCCATTAACAAAAGCGACAGTGAATGGAGTGGGAAGAGAGAGAGAGAGACAGGAGGAGGCCACCCATTAACGGTATACACTGACTAACTAACAGCTTTTCTCTCAGACGTCACTCCTTTTTCACTCCCCTGCTTGTCTCGGGGAAAATCGCCTCACAAATTAAGCTGGTTTTTCGGTGCCTTTTGCTAATTAGGGACTGTCCACTCGCTAAGGCACTCTCTCCTTTATGGCAGCTAGGCAGGCGGAGTGGCAGCTCTCCTTCTGCACCCCCTCTTCTGGCTTCTGTTGCTGCTGTCGTACAAAGACAGCTTTTCCACCAAGAAACTTGAAGAGAAAATGTCTAAACAAAGCTTCCACTTCTTGAGAAAGAGAGCAGCGCATCAATTGGAGCAGAGAAAGAGAGCGAGGGATGGGGTTCTGAGAAAGGCCACCAAGTAGAGGAGTGGACTTTTTAAGACACAGATCTGCGATTGAAGCAGCAACACTTCTGGGCCATAGAAACTCTACCAAATGTTAAGGCACCTTTTTACTCGCTGCAGTACAGTGCGTTTCGTGACCATCAATTGATCGTTTAAGGATTTAACATGCTCAAACTGAAAGCCTTCACATCCACTCTGTTTCGTGGCTATGAAAAAAGTACACGTTGATAGGCTTTTCCTTTTTGTGTGTCATGATTCCATGACGCTGGCTTTTCGGCTTGTTGCAAGTTTTCTTTTTCTTCGTCATTAAATCCCACAGTAAGGGAGCAAGCATCAGCGTTAATTAATTTAACTTTGTTACTGTTTTTAGAACCTCCCAAAAAGTCTGGAGTCTGAGGTTTGGTTTTTTGGGTTCCCTCTACAAAAAACCGGATGCGTTAATTGCTTGGGAAGTCTGTTTTTTCCAAGAGAAGATAAGCGCTCTCTACTCCACAGACGGGAGAAAGTGCCGCACCAGATGACAAGTCATCATTGGCTCTCCCATTTGTTTGATGTTCTATAATTCTAGTATTTTTCATTGGTATAAAACACAAACATAACGACCTTTACTGGGTTATCAAAAAACCTGGACCATCACACACGTGAGCTTCATTGAGGGGTTTCTCACGAATGGGGCCACCCAATATAGATATTACGTGATTTTGAACAATGAATTCGGCATGGACCAATTCTATATTCCATACTTAAAGATCAGGCCCATCTACATACATACCCTCATGAGCAAACGTAACAAGCAAGCCCGAACTGGTGAGGCCTAACTGTGCATTGCAGTTTGAGGTGTGATATGAGGTCTGGGCAGGTTCCATGAATTTGAAATCTGTTCCTAGAGGTCCCATAAAAGTGAGATCTGCTATTCGCTTATGTTAACATCTCTTTCTTGTTGCGTAATCTTCAAAATCAAGTGTTTGTCCAACGTTTCGTGTTTTTTTTTATGGGACCGCAAGTCAGGTGCTGCTCTGCCTTACTCTCAAAAAGTATCTGTAAATTGTATCTGTATTCTGTCTGTAATTTATGACTTTAGAGCCTCGTAGTTAAAACAAATATTGACTCTGGAATTTTCGTTTGATTGCGATAAGGAGCATTATACTCCTGTGTGTTTTGTTTTTCTGCATTTGGGATGTTGTTTTGGGTCTTTCGTAGTTTCTATGCGAGTATTTGCGTAGAGTTTTCTTCAGGGTCAGGCGGCCGGCGGCATGCGGCAATCAGACAATCAGGTAACCAGAAAGTGCTCAGGTACTCTACGGGTAATTTGTTCGGATTATAGCCCGTCCTTCCATCTGTCTGTTACTTTAAATAAACACCCAAATCTTAGAAGAATAAACTGCTGATAAGAGAGCGACTAGTGGTTTTGCCTTGTTGCCAGTTTCCATATGCTAACTTTATCTTTTGCGATGGAAAATTCTCGTCTTTTACGTACTGTATATGTACTTATGATGTAATTTATCTATCCATCTGTCAAGTGTTATTAAGATTGTTCAATTTAAAGAGGTATCAAGGGGATTTAGATGGATCTTTCATGAATATATAATCGAGTTTTGAAGTGAAAAGTGATCCAATGTATTTTTTTAATCGGCAACTCCAATTTCTAATTATAAATGGCGGGAATATGTGTGGACGGACGGTGTGTGGACTGCAAGTCCAATTGTGGAACTTATTCACTCACCTATTAGCGAGCAGCTGCACATCAGCAACGCTGCCCAGACAAGGGACAGCGGCGGCGTCCGTTTTCCCATTTTGTTATTTTTGTTCCTTCTTCCTCTTATTCTGTCTTTTCTGCTTCTTCGGTGTCTCTTCCACTGGTTCTGCTCGCTTCTTGTTCGCTTGCACAAAGTTTAGTCAAATTTTTGGATCCACAGGAAAAAAAATGTTGAAAAAATTACAGTTTCTTCTGTCAATGTTGTTTCTGCTTTTGGGTGTGTATGGTTTTCTGCAAGAAAGAAAAGAGAGAAAGAGAGGCGGGAGCCAAGGGTTAAGTAGTGACAAATCGTTTAATATTTCAAAAGATGCAAAAGGCAGGGTTTTGTTTTTACCAAATGCCAAAGTTGGCCTTTTAACTGCCATTAAGATTGTGGGAGAGAGGGTCGCGGGGACAGACGCATTTGCTGGAGAGCGTCATTCCATGGCCGGCGCTGCGTCACACGCCAGCAATTTCATTGCAGAGAGCGAAACAGAGACTGGCAGCAGCAGCGTCGACAGCGACCGCAACAGCAGTCAAAGAAGAGAATAACTTGTCCACACATATCCACACTTGCATGAGTGTGTGCTTTGTCTTGGCAGCAGGTTTCTTCCAAGGTACATGTCAGACAAGGGTGAAGCATTGTTTAAACCCTTCATAAGTGCCCTGGCAATACCTCATCGTTGTATTCATATACTCTGCAATTTTGTTCTTTGCTGTCACTGCGCCGCGCGCTGCTTCTGCTTCTGCTTTGGCCTGTCTGTTCTTTGTTGACGTCGGCGTCGCTGCCACTTCGGCCAGTTTTGTAACGGAAATTACAGCGGCGGCCCCTCTCTGCAGTCGAAACACGTAGCAGCGGCAGCGACAGCGGCTGAGGAAGGGCATAAAATGGAACGAGCGGGGGTGGTAGAGCAAGAGACCTGAATCGCATATTTAAACAGTAAAAATGTTATGGCATATCTTCTCTTAATAAATAAATAAATATACAATTTCCAATCATTTGTATTGTCTTTATTCTTCTCTCTCTCTCTCTCTCTCTTGATCTTTATCTTTTATCTGTTAATGTCACCCTCTCTATCTCTCTCTCACGCTTATCGGAAGAGGGAGAGCGCACCTTTGATTAGCGGTTTGTTTGCTGTCTGTTTGTCGATAAGGCACCTTTGACTCGCTCTCTCTCTCTCTCTCTTATTTATAAGAGGCGTCCTTGTGGGAAGAGAGCGGTCAACAGGTAATGGTGCCCCTCCCACTAGATCTCCTGCTCTAGCAAAAGGTTTCTCCTGGCAACGCCATGTGTGTCTACCGTTATTACTGGGGCGACCAATCGATATTTTAATTTACTCTCATTACTGGGGGCCACTCTGTGTCGTTCAATCGATACTTGGGGCAGGCCTTGGCCCCGCTCAAATAACGTGGCTCCTTCCGAACGCTTGACATGGCGAAAGTTGTATTACAAAATATTAGCCCTAAAATATGCATAAAGTTTGAATAAAAAGAAGACAAATTCATACACATAACGCTAATTATGAAAAGGGGGAAACTTTTGTCATAGAACAGGGGATGGTGGAGAGGATTGGAAAATCTGTTCATTAAAGTTAAAAACTTTTCCCTTGAAATTCGAGAATTATTAATGCGGATGTCATAGTGATTGGATTTCCGACTTTTTGACGTCCTTTAAATAAGAAGATAATTTCGGTCATTGTATGACATTTTTGATGGATATCTTAGAAAATCGAAATAAAAAACATAAATAAATACATACATACATACATATGCACATATACTGAAGTTTGTTACAAGCGAATTTTCAGAAAGAGGAGCGATACTGCATGACGCACGATAATGTTTTCAAGGTCCAAGGTAAAAACAAATTGAAATCGTTTAAACTTTAAAGGCATGGTTCCATCAGAAAATATTTACATGCCAGAGGAGGAAGCACTTAATCTTTCGGGTAAATACACTTTTCTCAAATGTTCTCATTTGTTATATGAATTCATATAAATTTAGGTTTGAAAATCTGCAAATAGTTGGTTTATTTTCGCAACGATTTTCCCACAAATATAAGCTTAAGAGAATGTCGAACAACTATTGGAAATGGAGCTTAAAACGAAGTGTAACTCAAATTAAATTGCTAGTTGCATCAAAAAGTTGCAAGAAATGTGTAAAAAAGATTAGCATTGAGGCAACGGCCGCAGTCAACGACAGTTTTCCCTTCTTTTTCTCGTCATTAAATAAGGAAAATCAGATTTGCGAAGTTTAGAAACATTTTAGTGCTGCACAGAAAAAGCACAAATTTGATTTGAAAATTGGATGATCTGCCGCCTACCCCATGCCACTTTTACTCTCTCTCTCTCTCTCTCTCTCTCTGCAGTGTGTGTGTGTGTGTGTGTAGGGCACACACAAGTTTTGGCAGCAGCACTCGCCTTCATTGCAGTAATTTTACGATGCAGGAGCCCTGCGGTTGAGCTTCACTTGCCCTCATATTCATACATCGAATTAGTTTCGGGTATAAAAAGGATACAAGTAAAAGTTTGCCACACAATGGAGATGCAGCACTTTTCAGCAGAGGCATGGCATTGATAATGGAAGAAATGTTCATTGTCATCGTCAACAGCAGATATCTCAGATTCAAGGGAACTTGCTGCACTTCGTATTGGAACCTTTGGTTTTGAATTCAGCTAGTTTTGGCAATAAATATTTGTTAAAGGAGAAGTCCGTAGAATGCTTAATTTTGACACAAATCTAGGGTTTCATTCCTAAACATTATTTATAGTTTGTATTGCATTGTATTAGGCAGTTAATTTAAGATAATCAACGCATTCGCTTTACTAAAACGGCATTTGGGAAAAATTTTGCATACATTTAAATCATAATTGAACGATATTTTACAATCTTATTTTATAGTTACATATTTTCCCGGTTTGTTTTTGTTCCTTTTTGAGTTTTCTATGTTCAATTATTCAATAAAAATAAAGCCCTAAACATCTACCACAATATTCGTTCCAATATCAATTATTCCTTTAAAAATACTTTGCAGCAAAAAAAGGATTTTCCTATTGGGAATATGTAGTTTGGGAATTTCGTTAAACTTTTTGGGTGGCACACTTTAGGGAATTTAGCGCATAGTTTTATCAAAACTACAATAAAAGCGGTGGAAATTATTTGTCAACACAAAAACACGTACCAAGCGTTATGTGGAATTAACTACGGCTTAAGAGGAATTCCCTAGAGGAATGCTTCATCTGGTCCATTTCTTTGTTTTTTTGTTCGATTCTAACTCTTTTAGAATAAGTTCCTACTCCTCCACAAATACCCATAGGAATAAAAATACACAAGTAAAAAGTTTTGAGAAAGATATAATAATCCCATAATAATATTTCCCTTCGGAATTCTTTTTCTGCTGAGTATTTTCATAAAAATTCGATTTTAACGAGGTTTCCATTTGCGAAATTCTTCTTAGGTTGAATTTCTATGTAGTTTTCACATTTTAGTACTCGTAGTACTTGTTTTTGTTGTTCCATGGGAACCACCATTTTAAGCTTGTAGTATTATTGCTTAAGAAGTTGACTTTCTTTCTAGTTTTTTCTTTGTTGCCAACAACTGCCAGTTGACTGACTTTTAGCGCCCAGTGTGTGACTCAACCAAAAGTTGAAATGAAAAAAAATACACTAACAAAAGCGGCATAGGTATTGTGTGTCGGACGGCGGCGTCAGACACGGCGCGCGGAGACCGGGCCCAAACCTGTTTTTTATTATTTGTTGTTTTTGTTGTTTCCCGTGTAATTTTGTGTTGTTGTTTGAAGGTTTTTCGCTGCGTTTTGAATGCACATTTTTCCGTGGCAAAGCATAGCACAACATAACCGATTTTTCAAACACCAGAAAAATGATAAAAAAAAAACAAAGTAACGTAAAGCTACTGCGGGGCACGTGACTCAACAACAATAATAATAATTGTGCAAATATGCCAGCAGAGAACAGCGTGATTGGGACAGAGAGACACGGGGGAGAGAGAGAGACACTTTAGTGTTTGTCACTTAAAAAAAAAACAGCAACAGAAATGCCGCCAGCGTTTATTTTTGGCCTACAAAAATAGGGAACTCTCGAGGAATTTTCATGGTTTTTTGTGGTTTATTTTATTACCAATTTTGTTGTAATTGTTTTAACTGTTGCACACACATACACTGACGGTGCGCGGTACGTACGCGGCAACACATGCACTCACACGAACGCGACGGCAGAGGCGGGAACGCGGCCCGTGGAAGCGAGTGAAACGTAGACAAATTGTCGTAAAAAGTTGTTATTAATATCAAAATCGTTGATAGTTGATATCACAAAATGAAGAGTTGTTTCAGTGGCCGCGGCCGTTTTGCTTGTGCCGTTACAAATTTCAAAGATTGGGGGGGCAAGGCCGTTTGTTTCAAATGCGCCTCAGATGTTGCTGGTGCTTCAAATGTTGCGCGGCAGCAAAAGCGTGTTGCTGATGTAGAAGAAAGGTGTGGACAACGGGCAGAACGGGTGGCAAAGAGCAACACATGTGAGGTAAGATCCACCTCTTTTGCTGCATATACCATGATCGCTTATCGATCAAACCAAAGAGAGCCGAGACTCAGACTTGCGTTTCAAGCATGAGCACAAATATTGCGGCAACATGCTGTCGCGCCACACAAGAGCAGCGACGTCAGCGCAGACAGCGACAGCGGAAACACCCGAATGTTGCCAGCGAGCGAGAGCTGCGCTGCCGGCACAGTGGAGCAACCGTTAGTCGCTGAACTGCGAAAGAGAGGTTGAAAGCAGAGGCGAGAGCAGAGAACATGTCATGTCAGGCAAGGTCAAGCGTATGTACTTGTTTTGTAACATTTATTACAGCGGCTCGTAAAAGCTTGACACGAATTTCGCTGCTTAAAAGTTCTGTTGCAAAATAAGTTTAGAGAAACTCTACGAAAGAAGGCGAGGCGAGCAATGGGGCCCACTGTGTGATCAAAAACACGTCGCAACAGTATACATGTGTATATATGTACAATAAAAGAGTACTGAGTAGTTGTGTCTGCTGAGAATTTATTTGTATGCGTTATACACTGTTCTTCCCACTGTTTCAGCGTGTTGCCAGTTGATCAAAAGCGACGCGCGCGGCAGTTCGAAATGTCGTGCAACCTTACGCCTGGCAACATTTCGGCGGCCACTTGTTGCCTAAGTTCGAAACGGCAGGGAAAAATCTCGTTTTTATACCCGGTAAATAGAAGAGTAAATAGGGTATATTGTATTTGTGCGAATAACGGCTGTATGTAACGCACAGAAGGAAACGTTTCCGACCCAATAAAGTATATATATACTTGATCAGCATCAATAGCCGAGTCGATAGAGCCATGTCTGTCTGTCCGTCTGTCCGTCTTGTTTGTCGGCTACTTCTCAGAGACTATACGAGCTAGAGCCACCAAATTTTGGCTCCGGACTACTGTATGCTCACACTGAAACCAGTTTTTTCAAAAATGAGCCAAAATTTGAGAAAACACCGCTGAGGTGCAGATGCACTATTGTCCCAATGACCAGTTTTGGTGGCTGTTTACGCCAATTAGCCAAATTATGGCCCGGAGCAATTAGTATTTTGTATAAGTAAAATGAATTTTTGTAGCATTAAGCTATTGAATTGTTGCATTTACGACATACTGACAGAAGCTTGTTGCTATAGAACATACATGTGATATGTGAATACGATAGAGAAAGAGGAAGAACATGCATTTAATAGGTCAATATTGAAATTGAAAAGAAGAAGAGATTAAATTGATTTGAATTCCGACTCGGTCGAACCAGCAGCACTTGGCTTTTTATTTCGAGATTTTGATTCCGAACTGGTTGCGAGGAGTTGCGGAAACAGTGGCCAAAAGCTAATTTAAGTTAATTTAAGTTAAAACCAAGACTCGGTTTTTAACGCTCTGTATTAGAAAAAGAGTGACCATCAAAGTTGCGTATAAGAAATTTTCATAGGTGGCGCCACTTTCGAAAAGTCTGCTGTGAAACTTATTGCACAGAATGTGCAGTGAAAAAGTACCAATTTTATTGCTGTTTTAAATATCTCATAAATTGGAAAATAGGATTAACTGATAAAATTTGTTTGATGCATTTTATTTAGTGGGCTTTTTACTACGTGTTCTGTAATGTGAACGATATCTAGTGGTTGGCGATGTGTTCTACATCTAGATGTAGTCCTGAGTGCCGGGTATAAAAGTTGTGACGCGTAAGAAGCATCTCACACGTCCCTTCTCGTTAATTGTTGCTGTCAATTAGGCAAGCCACGGCCCCACCCAAACCCACCAACCACACTAAAATCTTAGCCACGTTCCAAATGCAATTTAGCAAATGAAAATTGCGTCTCTGCCATGGGTTTTGTATACCCTTTTTCCTACGGGTTACTGCGTAACTCCTGCTGCGGATAATCGTGATTGTGGATTGCTTTTATCATTGTTTTTTCTTTAGTTTTGCTGCCAAGCGTTGAGCAATTTATCAATGGGCAAGCGGAGCGGAGGCACTACCCCACACCCACTGCCCTGCCACACGGATCCGTCAGTAGTGCACTCACTCCCATAGACCTACCCACTCCCACTCCCACTCCCACTCCCTCCCCCACCCACCAATCCACCACCATTGTCCATTTGGCTGGCAATAAGTGATTTATAGGATTGTTATTTTGTCGTTGATGTCGCACTTTCGCTGCGCTTTATTTATTGCACTGTCTCCGGAACACGGACTCCGGACGACTGGCATGCCATGCCCCCGTTTGTGGCAGTGACAGTGTTGGCTGGTAGGGTAGGTGGTACCACCGTTTCGCCCGATCTCACCCGATTTGCCCCGATTTGAAGTGTGTTAATTTTTCGTTTCCAACAAACGCATTTGCCATGCGAATTCACGAATGGTTATGGAATTGGCATCACTCGCGAGGCTGATACCTGACTGTGGGAAGGTCTCTCTTTTCCTTTGCTCACTCCCTGTCCTTACTTCATGCTTCATTAGCAAATGGCTTTGACCTTTCAACTGAATCACTCACCACGGCTGCTGCTGCTGCTGCTTCTGATGGCAAATTGAGACGGGAATACATCGATTGAATTGAGTACTTTGTTACTTGGCACACTCCATGTCCTGATGTGTCACATCTCGCCATGTAACTCCTTCTTGCAGATCAACTCCACGCTGCCACAGAGGCATTGATTGCACGCACTGACAGTGGGGTCTTCCGTGGATAGGTAAATTCCTATTTCTTACAAACAAAAACAAAACACTTGCAGCGCACGTAAACATTGCAAATTCCGGAGTTGCCACCCAGCTGAAAAGCAGAAACTAGTGAGAGAAAACACATAAAAAATGAGATAAAATATTGCGCGCAGCGATGGGTTGAGTTTTCACCTATCTTCCCATTCTCCTACTCTTTTTGTGTGCAGACATTTGTAGAAACAATAAGTCGACATAGTCCCACAAGTCCCATAGGTACAATAATAATTCACATCGCGCCTATGGGTCGCCGCCAGACCGTTAAACGCATGGCTTCGTTTTTTTTTTTGTATACAAGCTTAGTTTTGTTTACTTTTGTTCATTTATGTTGATTGCAGACCGTTGCACAAGTTAAAAAGCATCAGAAATCATTGCCGAGGCCACAGGCACGGACTCGGTTACATCCTGAAGAGGAAAGCGCGTGGTCAGCAGAGGTGCAGCAACAAATGTGCAAGTGCCGGGCAAGTGCACTCAACTAAATGCTGAATAGACATCGATGAGGGTCAAATATTTGACACCCAGGTACTCGCAGCTACTCCGCTACTTTTCTGAGGATCCATGATTGTGAGCTGGTATGAATACTTTTCAGGAACAGCAGCACAAGGAGTGGGGCTCTCTTGGAGAAGGAGCTGCAGGCTAAATCCCCCGAAGCAGTTGTAGAATATAACCATCGACAATGTACGTGAGAGGAAAGGAAGCAAAGGAGAACCCTCTACGGACACCAGGAGACCCTTTACGTGTGCTACTCGAAGGACTGTGGACTACTGTGGTGCGTATTTGGCATATTGGCGTATTTCCTGGGCTTCTAATTTGCCAGTCTCCAGGAACTTGGTATGACAAAGGTTCTGTTCTTTGCTGTCGGGGGGTACAGTACGGTCTGCGGTCTACGGTCTATAATAGACATTGGCAGAGGGAAACTAACTTCAATCAGTGGAATTGTGCAGACAAATGAAGACATCGAAGATATTAGAGAACGAATTCGGTGCATTGGGTGGTCCCCAAAATTAATCTCAAATGATCTCTGGAATCGCTGTAGTTTGTTCTGTACCAATTTGTACCTCAGATCGGGTTCATGTCGGCTTCAGATTCAGTAAGCGGAGCAGGGTAGGGGAAGCAACTGGAACACCTGCATGAGTGCTGCAGAGCGGAGCTATCGAATTACCTCGCTTACCTCGCTGCTCCCGAAAATCATTATAAAATGGTTAATAACTCTATAAGCAATTAGAGGGCAGGCCCTCATCTATGCTCTGGCCAAGCCACTGGCAACGACGAACAGACAGAGAGACAGACAGAGGGACTGACAGGTTTTTGTCTGCCCCATCGAAAGGCGACAGACTCTGAGCCACTGACTGACTAATGATGGTAGCGGATAAGACAGCCACAGACCCACAGTCATTCACATTTACAAAGCAAATGATGGATTATTGTTTTCCCATTGCACAAGGTACACAAAGATGAAGCCACAGATACACTCGGAGGAGAGGTGCCAACGTTATAAATTGATATTTAAGTATTCGCTTCATGAGTTGATTTGCCAGGATAATGGCGGCACAAATCAAAGTTCGATTCGCTCTTCTTTCCTTTCCTTTCTTTTTCGAAAAAAGAACAAGCTTATAAGGAAACTTTGGACTCTTCATTAAAGCAATTAAATAATATTTTTAGCTGAAACATGAACTTGATTGCTTTGGTAACCCTTGGATATCATGATGAGGATCTCCCTCATGAGGCACTCTTGTCTTTTGGGCTCAACAAGTCCACAACAATGATGAGTGTCTCATTAAGTGAATATAGTGCAGTGTTAGGGACCCCTTGGACCCCATCTGGACTCCATTCGATGGGCAAACCCTTCGCGTAGCCCTTTCCGCAGTTTGCAAACAAGACCATGTTGAAAAAGGGTCTCATTAAACCATCAGACGATGGACAGTAAATGGACATGAAGTATTTTCACAGTTGACCTTTAATGGGTGTCTCCTGCCACACTTCCTGCCTGGCAGGACAGCGTCCGGCATGACCGCAAAAATGACAAAACTATGCGGAAAATATCCACACAGGCCTGGACCGGGGGTAGCGACCCTTCTACAGGTCTCTCTCTCTCTCTCTCTCTCT